ACGATGTGTTGATGGAGGATTTCTTGCCGTTGCTTTGGTCTCGAAATAGTGCCCCAATGCCAAGATGTACGATTTTTGCAAATCCTTCGTTCTCGATGCGGTGTCCCTCGCTAAGATGTGCGATTTGTTGTCGTAGCTTTGCTCTCGAAGTGGTGCCCCAATTCTAATATGTATAATTTGTGGCTGTTGCTTTGGTGTCGAAGTAGTGCCACAACGCTAAGATGTACGATTTGTTGCCGTTGCTTTGGTCTCGAAGTGGTGGCCCAATTCTAAGATGTAAGATTTGTTGCCGTTGCTTTGGTCTCGGAATGCTGCCCCGCTGCTGAGATATACGATTTGTTGCCGTTGCTTTGGCCTCGAAATGGTGTTGTAATTCTAACATGTACGATTTGTGGGCGTTGCTTTGGTCTCCAAAAAGTGCCCCACTGCAAAGATGTAAAATTTGTTGCCGTTGCTTTGGTCACGACGTGGTGCCGCAACACTAAGATATATAATTTGTTGCCGTTGCTTTGGTCTCGAAGTGGTGCCCCAATGCTAAGATGTACGATTTGTTGCCGTTGGTTTGGTCTCGAAGTGGTGCCCCAATGCTAAGATGTACGATTTGTTGCCGTTGCTTTGGCCTCGAAGTTGTGTTCCAACTCTCAGATGTGCGATTTATTGCCGTTGCTTTGTTGTCGAAGTGGTGCCCCAATGCTAAGATGTACGATGTGTTGCCGTTGCTTTGTTATCGAAGTGGTGGCCCAATTCTAAGATGTACGATTTGTTGCCGTTGCTTTGGTCTCGAACTGGTGCCCCCATTCTGAGATATAGAAACTGTTGCCATTGCTTTGGTCCCGATTTGGTGCCCCAATTCTCATATAAACAATTTGTGGCCTTTGCTTTGGTCTCGAAGTGGTGCCCCGATGCTAAGATATACGATTTGTTGCCGTTGTTTTGGCCTCGAAGTGGTGCCCCGATGCTAAGATGTACGATTTGTTGCCGTTGCTTTGGTGTCGAAATGATGTTGCAATTCTAACATGTACGATTTGTGGGCGTTGCTTTGGTCTCGAAGTTGTGCCCCAACTCTCAGATGAACGATTTGTTGCCGTTGCTTTGTTGTCGAAGTAGTGCCCCAATGCTAAGATGACGATGCGTTGACGTTGCTTTAGTCTCGAAGTGGTGCCCTAAATCTAAGAAGTACGATATGCGGCCGTTGGTTTGGACTCGAAGTGGTGCCCCAATTCTAAGATATATCGTTTTGTTGCCGTTGCTTTGGTGTCGAACTGGTGCCACAATGCTAAGATGTACGATTTGTTACCGTTGCTTTGGTCTCGAAGTGGTGCCACAACGCTAAGATGTACGATTTGTTGCCGTTGCTTTGGTATCGAAGTGATGTCCTAATGCTAAGTTGTGCAAACTGTTGCTGTTGCTTTGGTCTCGAGGTGGTGCCCCAACGCTGAGATGTACGGTTTGTTCCGTTGCTTTGGTCTCCAAATGGTGGCCCAATACTAAGATGTACGATTTGTTGCCGTTGCTTTGGTCTCGAAGTGGTGCCCCCATTGTAAGATGTACAAACTGTTGCCATTGCTTTGGTCCCGAGTCAGTGCCCCAATTCTTATATAAATAATTTGTGGCCTTTGCTTTGGTCCCGAAGTAGTGCCCCAATGCTAAGATATATGATTTGTTGCCGTTGCTTTGGCCTCGAAGTGGTGCCGCAATGCTGAGATGTACACTTTAGTTGCTATTGCTTTGGTCTCGAAGTGGTGCCCCAATGCTAAGATGTACGATTTATTGTCGTTTCTTTGGTTCCGAAGTGGAGTCCCAATATAAAGATGCACGATTCGATGCCGGTGCTTTGGATTCGAAGTGGTGTCCCAATACTGAGATATACGATTTGTTATTGTTGCTTTGGTCTCAAAGTGGTGCCCCAATTCCAAGATAGACGATATTTTGCCGTTCCTTGGGTCTCGAATTTCATCAATTTCTATCGAGTGATTCGCTCCGGGCTTTTAAGTTCTCTAGTCTCTTTCGAAATTCTCTAGTCTTTTTCGAGCGGTTTGCTCCTTCTTGTCATATTCTCTAGTTTCTTTCGAGCGGCTTGTCCCTCTTTTTCCAATATTCTAGTCTCTTTGTAAATCTTCCAGTTTCTTTCAAGCGATTTGCTGCTTCTTCTAAAATTCTCTAGTATCTTTCGAGTGGTTAATTCCTTACTTTCAGTTTATCAACCCTATTTCGATATAAATCTCTTTCGAGCGATTTATTCCTTCTTTTGATTTTTTCTAGTGCCTTTCGAGCGGTTTGAATCCTTGTATTGACAATCTATAATCTCTTTTCGGAAAAGTTTTAGGATTCCTTTCGAGCGGTCTGCTAGCTGTTTGTTCTCAGTTTCGCTAATCTCTTGCCGAAATCTCTAGTATATTTTGAATTGTTTGCTTCTTTTTCTTTTATAATTAAAACATAAATCGACCATTTTAATTACAAATTAATATAATAATATTTTATATAATTATATATTTTCTTGTTCTTGATTTTCATATATCAGTTCAAAATATAAATCTATAAAAAGGAATATATTCTATATTTATCTATATATATATATAAATATCTATTTATTAATTTAATTTCATAGTATTCAGAATATTCAATTTCTTATAATAATTTAGATTCAGAATATTCAATTTCTTATAAAGATTTAGATTCATAAAAATATGATCCTTTAAAAATCTTACTTATAATTATTTAGAAAGATTTGAATCTTATAATATTTTTATCGAAGAAGACACTAATAGAGATTAAATTAATTTAAAGTTGAGCTTTATGATACTCTATAATTTGAATTCTTATAATTTCGGGATTTTCGAATTTGATTTTGCTTTTCTAAATATGATAATTTATTTTTATTCTTTAAGAATCTTATATAAAATTATTTGTAAGATCTTGAAACTTATAATATTTTTATCGAAATGAAATAATTTCATAAATTGAATTAAATGATATTCGTATCCGGTTCGTGTCTAGTTCGTGTTCGGTTCGTATCTAGATTCGTGTCTAGTTCGTGTTTAGGTTGGTGCCTAATTCGTGTCCGATTCCATGGATTCGTGTCTAGTTCGGATTTAAGTTCGTATCTAGTTTTCGTGTCTAATTCGTATTTAGTTCGTATCTAATTCGTGTTCGATTCGTATCTAATTTAAAATGGGTTTATTCTGGGTCTAGTTCGTATTTAAATTAGTAGCCGAAGTTAAGATTAAGATTAGATTATATTTTAGATTCATAGACGAAATAAAAATTGAGATTAAATTATATTTATTTCCTTTTACTCTCTACCTTTTATTTAGCCTTTGACCTCTAATTTGTAATTATTTTCTTTTTTAGTCTCTAACTCTTATTTATATTTTAATAGATCTTTGACCTCTAATTCCGATTTTTTATATCTACCTTCTAATTTCTAATTCTTATTTAGCCCCTATTTTTTATCTCTATCTTCTGAGTTCTAGCTCTTATTTAGCCTTTAATTCCTTAGATTTTTAATCTCTACCTTCTAATTTCCAGCTCTTATTTAACCTTTAATTCCTTAGATTTTTAATCTCTACCTTCTACTCTTATTTGACTTTTGACCCCTCTATTTTTTTATCTCCGCCTTCTAATCTCTAGCTCTAATTCAATCTTATATTCTAGTTTATTATCTCGGAGATTATCTCGAGCCGTTAATATCAGATTTTAAATATTTGGCTTTTAGCCTCCAAATTATCCTTGTAGAGATCAGAGAGGCGAAAGAATAGAAAATAGAGAGAAATCAATTGAAAAAAAATAGAATAAACTTTCTAGAAATTTTTTTATCAAAACATATTTTCAGAACAATTTTTATATTATATATAAAAAATAAATAAATATATAATATAAGAATATTCTTGAGAATATCAAGGCGAGTCACAAAGTCTAAGGCACCAGGCATTAGATCCATCACGGCCATTACGAGTCGCCCGTCCCCGTCCCAGATTGCTGTCCATTGCTTGAAAACACAATATGCATTGTGAAACTTCACGGAAGGTACAAGCAGTGGTCAAAGTAGCCTTTAGGTAGACCGACAATATGCATACGAGCCTACGCGTTGCACCGGCAATGACTCCAGTTCAACATGAGTTTTGGTGAGCCGCTATTTCAATGCCGCATCTCTGAACCACGAATCCTAATCAAAGCTCTTTGACAAAGTATTCCCTTGCCACGGCCGGAGCCCGCAAAGAGACCTGAAACTTGTCGTCCCAATGGAGGGCAAAGCTGTGTTTGCCTGTTTCGTGTCTTCATTATCTGGCTCTGGAGAATCGTCACCGTCCTCGGCGAGCAAGAGGTAGTAGTCGCACGGCCCGCGGCAGTCGCGTCCTAACTTTGTATGATCTATAGTGCGCGCCTAGGAGACTCGTGCTGCTCTTGAGGGAAGGCATCAGCTGTTTTGCTCTGGCATTGTGCGGAGTCCAAGCAGCTTGTGGCACATCTCTGCTCGACGATCGCAGCGATGGGCTCCCGAAGGAACTGTAGCTATACATGCGGCAATTGCCAGCTCTGCGCCTCTTTGGTGCACGAGTCAGCAAATCTAGAGCCCACGGCTGAAGCTGCAAGCAAAGAGACCCGATCACAGTACTGCAGCATCCACCCTAACCCTTGCATGACTCTTTCAAGCAGGGTCTGCAATTGGCACTTTGCACATGCACGCAATTCGCGTCTAGTTTCAGGGGACAACAGATACTGCAGCAGTCCGGTCAAGGCTGAAAACGATATAAAAAGCATCCGCCGTGCATGCCCACATGCCATCTATGATGGCTGGGCTGGAAGCCAGCTTGATGCTGCTTCTTGTCGGATTCCGATGCGGTCCCACAAAAACGTAGATGCGATTCACGCAAAAAGTGCATCTGCAGGTTCACGGTCTGTACACAAGCCAAAAATGCCTGCGCACTTTTCCGGGTGCAATGGCCTCCTGGGACCCATCGCTTCTCAAGTCCCCCGACAGACATTGGCGAAACTAAGCCTCAAGGATTGGTTCTGGCAAGGAAAGCAACATTCGCAAGCCTTCGGCGTGGGGTTGCAGTTTGGACCTCCCGTCGACGCAGGCAGGTAAAGCCAGCAAGAGGAATGCTGGTGTCGATACCTTCTGAACGAGTCCAAAGCTCGCAACGCCCAAGGCTGTACTCGAGGCCAACACAAACCAAGGCCAAAGCCAAGCATTCCTCCTGACAAGCGATCAGGCTTGTAGTGGTGACGACCGTGTAGTAGCTGGCAAGGTTATCCCCTGCATTGGAGCCCCTGCAAGCTCGACCTGACCCTCCATCAACTTCTTCGAACGCTTCGAGGAGCACGAGTGACGTGGTAGTGGTAGTCATGGTCCTCATCACATACCCAAGACAGACAAAGCCGGTCAAGTTTATGCTCGCCTGAATTCCACCACTCCGGATCCAAACCTCACATCGGTCTGTGCTGTACTCCACCCCGACACAACCTCCGGTTAATTCGCACCTGGCCTTGCAATCGGAGAGGTTCGCGTCCGAGTACACCGCGTAGTGCTCTGCTCGATTGTCTGTGTTACTGCTACCACGGCAGGCCCGGCCAACTCCCCCATCGACAGGGACAAAGTGATATTCTGGCATACTTTGTGTCGAGGTGGTGCTGACACCCGTAGCTGTTAAAGTTACGGTCGTGCCATGGATCTGGGAGGTCGCTGTCGCTGTGGATGGCTGCATTGTGGTGGACTGTGGGTTGGGTGCACAAGGTGCGCAGCCTGCGAAGCAAACGTGTACTGTTGTGCCGAAGGAGCCGCTTCTGACGGAAAGAAACCTGTTCGAATGGCCAGAGCCAGCCTCCTGACACTCTAATGGGACGTATTCCACATCGTCCCAAGAATCTCCGTTGATGAACTTGAACTCATAAAACCCCGGGGGCAACGCCAGTGTAAGCTCATGCACGCCGTCTTGATCTGAGTCCAACAACTTAGTTGCCGCCGGATCCCAGTCCTGAAAGCTTCCAGCAACATGCACACCGGCAGGAGATACAGTCTGATCTTGCATGCCCACCTTGAAGGTCACGAGAATTTTGTCGGGAGTCGGCGTGGTCACTATGGCTTGGACGGGTTTCATGACACACGGGATGCTGTTGATGCAGTGCCAATCATTTCCATAGGAGATTCGAGGGCACAAGGACGGCTCAGCGTTTCCAGCCCAGCACAGAACACCCTGAAAGCTAACCATCCAACTGTCCTTGGTCACAGCCGATGCTCGACGCTATATGGTTCTTCTTTTGGAGAGGCAGACATAGCAAACCCGAGAAGGCTATGCCTATTGAATATGGACCTATGGCAACCTAATTTCGGCTTGGTATGTGGAATCCTGCTGCGCCTTTGCAGTCCAACACGCTGCACCCAATCCCGAAACGTAAGGCTTGAATGCCACCACGGTTCAGCTTGGTACTCGGCCGGGCACCAGCCCCCCAAAATCATCGTCCAAACCCAAAGGTGGAGAACCTGCACCCGCGGGAACAACTTTTCAGTTTGGAAAGTGCAGCTCAACTTGGAGAGCCCAGTCGAGAAAGCGACGAACTTTCAAAGCTGGAAGATAACGAGAAGCGACGAAACTCATCAAAACGAAACTTGAAGCAATAGAAGCTACGGCTAATGTCGACTCTTCTTTGTGTCACTGACCTGGGAGCCATGTCCTGCAATCGTCTCTCGTGGCATAGAGGCACCGACCTCGTCCGCTCGGCCGCTCGGTCCCGGTGGTTTAGGGTTTGGCTGAGGGCCTTCAGGGACATTGAGTTTACACGCATGTGCTTCGGGTTCTTGGGCTTAGGGCTGGCGATTGGGAATCTAAACTTCTCGCAGGCATACATGAGCTTGAAGAATTTCGGGTGTAGGGAACTCTTCATATCTTCGGGCTGATTGCTTGCCGGCATTTCGCGAATATGGGCTCAACAATAGGTATGGCATTCCGGTGAGACCCCTATGCCACAGGGATTCCTGGACAAAGCAGCAATATCTCAGCAGCGAATCTTGTTGGTGTCTTCTCTTTCTGGATTTGCTCTTCTTCTGCTGCTTGCTTGATTATTCGTGTTTGTTCTTCTCTCTCTATCATTCTCTTGTATCAAGACAGTCAGATGTTGGCATGTGGTGTTGCGTTGCCCCAGCTTGAATCCGGCATGGAGGCTTGGTGCGCAATAACATGCTCCAACACTCCTAGATTGCATGCATGCCCGGGCCTCGAAGACATCCAGGGCGCGGAACGTGGGGGTGGCACGAGGTGCCATGGACTCCAGGACTTGCTGGTTGAAGCGGGTGAAGGCGCTCCTCGTTGAGAGCGAGGCTTGAAACGCAGAACCAAGACTGCAGTGCAATAACGACTGCCGCATCCTCAAGAAGTGCTTGGCACCTGGGATTACCGACTTCCCTTGCTAGAACCAGCCAAGGCTCAGCAAAGGCCCCGTCGTCTCTGTGAAAGAGTTGGTAGCAACTACGCAGCCGAAACCTCGGCCGGCACGGCCGCTGGGAGCACAAGTCGCCTCCATGTAGTCCAAGACCTTGCGGATTTTTGATCACCAGGTGTCGGGATTCGAACTTTTCAGCTGATGCATGCTTGTATGGGGACAGGCCTGCAATGAAGAACAACGCGGAACTGCTACAAAATAGAACAATGCCACCCAAAGCTTCGTTCTTACCGTGCATGGACTGGCACTTGGAAAGGAGATGCCTGGAGCAGGGGTGCTGGAAGCGGGGACCGTCTAAGCTTCGCTGCTGTGAATGATTAGCAGGGCCCACACCGAATGATTGTCCAACAAGGCGCGCTTTCCATCTCGCTTTTGAACTTTGCAAAGGTTTCGTCTTCCGTATCGCTCTTGAGCTCCTGTCTGGGGCAAAGGTAGAACTTGATGTTCTGGCACACGAGATACCAGGCCACAACCTGGGCCACATAGCCAACCTTCGCCTCCTTCCATGCCACGTCTGCCTGGTGCTTCGGAATTTTTTGGGCTCGGCTGTAAACCTGGTTGCCAACACAAGAAACCTGTTCAATCTGCCTCCACGATGTCGATGATGGAGCGGGCACGCTCCCAGAAGAACGTGATTGCCATCGTTATACGGACTTTTCGGGAAGTAGGATGCGGTGCCTCTCATGTCGCAAAAGATTCTATAACAAGAATTACGTCAGGGCTTTTGTCGAGTCAAGTTTAACGGAACGAGCGTATGATTGTGTGGTTCTGGATCAGAGGGTGTGCCCGGATCCACACACATAACTCACTCCTCCATAGATCAGAAAATTCTGTACGTGCAACTGCTCAGTACAGCATGCCACTTACACAGCACTACAGGGTATCTGCATTTCTGCATGGGCATTGGCTCAGGAAGACAGCATAGTACTAGTACTAGTACTAGTACTAGTACTCGTACTGGTACTNNAACTCTACAACCCTACAACCCTAAACCCTATAAGCCTACAACCCTAAACCCTATAACCCTATAACCCCAAACCCAAAACCCTATAGCCCTATAACCCTAAACTCTATATAGCCCTATAACCCTAAAGCCCTATAACCCCATAACCCCAAACCCAAACCCCTAAGCCCCGAGCAGGCGCCTTGCATCGCAATCTCAGCCTCTCAATGCAGCAGCAGGGAGACTACGCAGCTTCCGCCCCCTGGCTCCGACTCAGGGCTGTGTGGCGTTTAGGGTTTAGGGTTTAGGGTTTAGGTTTTAGGGTCTGGGGTTTAGGGTCTAGGGTTTAGGGTTTAGGATTCAGGGTCTAGGGGGCCTTCAGGGTGTAGTTAGGAACAGTGGGGTTTAGGGTTTAAGGGTGTAGTTAGGAATAGTAGGGTTTAGGGTGTAGTGTTTGGGGCTTGAGGGTTTAGGGAATCGTAGGGTTTAGGGTTTGGTGTTTGCGGCTCGAGGGTTTAGGGGGTAGTAGGGTTTAGGGTTTAGTGTTTGGGGCTTGAGGGATAAGAAAATAGTTAGTAAGGTCTAGGGTTTATAAGGGATAGTAGGATTTAGGGTCTGTTGAGTGCTTCAGGGTTTAGGGTATAGTAGGGTTTAGGGCAGTTCAGGTTTTATGAGGGTTCACGCCCCCAAACCCTTATAAACCCTAAACCCGAAACCCTGAACCAGAAACCCGAAACCCTAAATCCTAAACCGGAGCTCAGTCAGTTTTGCCCGATCCGACGTCTTCTCAGTCTGGGCTGGAGCTCTGATTCTGTTTGTTCTGGTTGTAAATATAGGGACCTAAATAATTACCCCAGAGCCCTGTTCTAATCTTCAAGGCCCTTATTTTACCATTTTCATTTCTCGGCTCAGCACTTTTGGCCTAGCTTATTCGATTGTCGGTGTCAGGGTTGTTTCTGTTTGCGCTGTACGATGAATCAGGCTCTTGCAGTCGAGTACGCTTACGGAAAAGTACGTGCAACCAGACGTCAAAACTTTCCTCTTGAGCGCCGCCAGTTCAGGAGCGGTATGCCGATGCCTCCCTGAAAGCGGAGCCAGGCAACGGCTGTGTCGGAATAAGGGTTCAGGGTTTAGGGTTCAGGGTTTAGGGTCTAGGGTTTAGGGTTTAAGGTTTAGGGTTTAGGGTTAAATGTCGAGTTCGGCGGGTCTCGGCAGGAGTTGGTGAATGTGTGAACATGACTAGGAAATCCCTTAGTCGTACTAGCGTTCTCCACATGGATGCTTTAACCTACACCCTAAACCGCTTAGGTTCGAGAATTTGGACTCCCCCTGTTTCTTCATCGGATTCCAGCACTGCCCTAAGCGTATACCCTCCAGATTGGAGGCGCTTGGGCTCTCTCCTTGGGGCTCTCTCCTTGAATGTTTTTGTCTGCGCGCATACATGCATATCTACTTACTTACATAGATGCATACATACATACATACATACATACATACATACATACATACAAACAAAAAATATAGATAGGTTTGCCAATAAATACGTATACAAATATATATGTATACATATCTGTATATATATATATATATATATACACGTCATGTTGTTACCACAACTACTACGACGACTACTACTACTACTACTACTACTACTACTACTACTATGACTACTATTACTACTACTACTACTACTACTACTACTACTACGACTACTACTACTACTACTATTACTACTACTACTACTACTACTACGACTACTACTACTAAAAGTACTGCTACTAAAAGTACTACTACTACTACTACTACTACTACTACTACTACGACTACTACTACTACTACTACTACTACTACTACTACTATCACCACTACTACTAGTAGTACGACTACTACTACTACTACTACTACTACTACTCCTGCTGGTACTACTACTACTACTACTACTACCACCACTACTACCCCTACCACTGCACTACTGCTGATGCCGCTGCTGCTGATGCTGCTGTTGCTCTTACTGGTACTACTACGTACAACTCCGTACAACTATGCAGCTGCCGCATCACTGGGCCTTTGCAAGTTCTGATGCATAGATCTCCTTGCATCTCTGCTCCTGATCGTTGAGCCCCGTGGTGTTCTGCGAGCAGGTCTGCACAGAGTAGTTCACAGCGTTGAAATAACCTGGAGTTTAGGTCTTCTTTGTCATGAAGCCCCATAAGCACACCGATGCACTCGCCCTAAATGCCTTGAGCCCCTGTTCCCTGGATCCTGCATCGCCAGAGATATTATGCTAGACCTCAGAATTTTCGAAGTGGCTGACTTGACCGTCTTCCAGGACAAAGTCCAAGAAGTTGTAACTTCCAAAGTCCTGGGAGACGAAGATGCTGCGAGGATTGATGGTGACAGGTTTTTGGTACCTAAACAGAACACATCGAACACACACTTCGAAGAAACGGTCTTGAACTGCAGCATCGAGACGATGTATGGAATTGCATCCTCTTGCGCCAGGATGAACAACAAGCTGTTGGCCATCAGCTGCGCATTCGAGGTGCCCATAACCACAACCCAAGATCCGCCCAGGCATCCGTCAATGCTTTCGGGCTCAAAGACGGCGTAGCGGCACTTGCCACTGTCAGTGTACATCTCTAGGTTGCCAGTCGAATGCAGCTTTCCACGTGTTGGAGGCACCGGCGCCAGGGCATTGCAGGGCTCGTTCCCTTGCATGGGCAGCTCCACTCGCGGCAACGCGCTAACCGCAACGGCCTTGCCCTGATCTCGCGGAACATAAGCCTCGGCGTACGCAGAGCCATCTTTGACCTGAGTTGTTCACTCCCGTCTGGTCTAATTGTGCAGTGAGCTGCAAACCACTTAAAGCTTTGCAGTCTTTATAGATGTGCCGTAGATGTAGGTTGATGCGCGGACAAAGTCTTCTGATAGCTGCTCGGGCACGCCGATCAAGGCGTAGGAGTCCCTGAACTGCAGGCTGCCGATCTGCTGGCCGCCACACGCTTGGATCAAAGCCCGACCACCGTCCGTCAGTCCTGAGGAAGCTTCGTCTGAGACGCCAACAAGGACCGTGGTGTTACTTGCCAAACTCTGCAGAAAGATTTCGACCTCGGTGGAATCCTGGTTTGTGTCGAAAGTCTTAGGCGCCCCGACGACTTCACCGTCTACGGCGAGTACCACAATCGTGAGACCACGTGCGCTGGTCGAGTGAAGTTGCTTCCCATTCAGCCAAAATGACACCTCATTGCCATCAGAGAAGCCAGCGCTCTGAACAACGACATCCATAAGGTCAGCAGACCCGTCGACACAGCACTCTTCTGTGCTTGAGGCAATGAGTTCCAGGGCTTCGGGCCGATGAAGCATCCAGCTCGGACATGTAAAGAGTTTGCAGGGAGGAATCTCGTCACATGGCTCGCAAGCACTGAAGCAGGTGTGGTAATCCATGCCGCTCGCACCTTCCGGGATCGAGATGTAGCGGTTGAAGTGCCCAGATTGCTGCTCGCTGCAGCCAAAAGGCACCTCTTCGGCATTCTCCCACGTGTTGCTGTTGATGAACTTGAATTCATGGAAGCCTGCACTCAAGTTTAGCATCACCTGGTAGACACCATTGCCCTCCAGGTCGAGCAACCTTGCTTGAAGAGTTCGAAAACGATGTACCCAAGGCCTATGAAAGCCTCACATCTGTGAGCTGTCGCGACTGCAAATCAGCCAAGGATCCGGGTGGCGTTCGCTTCCCAGCCTTGGAAGCTGCCCGCCACGTAGACACCAGCACTGGACGTGACCTGGGGGACACTCAGCGCCCTGTCTGACCCTTCATCTCCCCGCCTGCTAAGCCGCAGTCTTAACTAGGCTGAGGCAACCGGAAACACGATTCTTTCTCCATCGCCTCCCTGGCCATGCCCACACGAAGCGTCACGGGAACCTCGGCCAGAGCTCCCAACAGGGCTCCGAAGAGGCAGAAGACACTGAAAGCCATGGCTCCACCGTCTGCCAATGCTCAGAGCCCGTGTTGGCTGAGGACCAGCCGTAGGTGCAGCCGGCAAAGTGTAGGTTTAGGGGGCGAGATGCAGACTTACATGGCGGGAACCCTACAAACAATAGACATCAATTGGAAAGTGGTGTGCTTGAGAGTGTTTCACTGCGCCTCCGAAAACTCCCTCGCAAGGTATTGAAATATTGCAACCTGTTGGCGGAGCACCATTTTCCGGCATGTGCCGGTGGTCCTTGGGAATTGGAGTTGACCCCGGCTATCCTCGTGAATCAACGGACGTTGAGAAATATCCTACGCGCAGCGCTGGCCCCGACCGTCATGCTTACGGTGAATGATTATTGAATACGCAGATTCTAAAGTACCAAAGTAGATAGTTTATGCTACCTGCGTTGGCTTCGGGCCCGGGCCGCCTAGCCCGTTTTAATAAGCGGATCCCGCTCCACCCTTCCAACCTCCACCGCTTCGCCCCCTCCTCTACCGTAAGAGTCGTGGCACTGTCGCTTCGCTTGTGTGAAAATTGTGGAGTGGATGGGCGCCTGGTGGGTGGTGTGGAGGGCAGCAGGGTGGCGGGTTGGAGGCTAGTGGAGGGTGGAGAGCTGAGGGGTGGAGGGGGGGTAGGAGCGGAGGGTGGAGTGGGCATCGCCGGGTACGCAAGCTTCGTATCTGGACCCTAGCAACTTTCTTGCTTGCCCGAACAAGTGAAGCTGGAGCGAGAAAAGGCTACAGCAGAGTTACCCGGCCCATACTTGTTAGATTTTGTTAGCATGCTTCTCGCAGACTCCATAGCCTAAAGAAAACAGTAATCAAAGCAGACATTGTCTCGACGGCTCCAGTTACCGAAAAATGCGTGCGTGTCATTGTTGCCAACTATGCTGTGAGATGCTTTTGGTCTTGGGTGGTGGAGGGGTGGGGAGGAGCGGGGTGTATGGAGGGCTGTGGATTGTATGGGTGGTGGTGGAGGGTGAGTGGAGGGGGGTGGGGTGGAGGGTGGGGGAATGGAGGGAGGGGTGGAGGGGGGGGGGGGGGGGGGGGTCTAGGCAGTGGAGGGGCGGAGTTTATGTATGTTTTGAGAAATACGATGCAAGCGGCACTTTTAAACTGCCTCTGTGGCTCCGGGGGGTTGGCCGCCCTCCACATATTTAAACTGCACCGTGTATTTTTGGGGAGGACGGAGGGCAGGAGTTTGATTGGCGACTGATGTGGCTTTGACTGGGACTAGGTGCTGGTAGCTGTAGTGAGTAGCGATAGTGAGAGCCATTGCTTGTGTTGAAAGCAATGCTGACAACATTGTCAAGATGTTGCATATTTGCATAATGGTCTCCACTGGCACCACCATCATCATCGTCATCGTCATCGTCATCGTCATCGTCATCGTCATCGTCATCGTCATCGTCATCGTCATCGTCATCGTCATCATCATAGTCATCGTCATCATCATCACCATCATCAGAATCATCAGAAGGAGCACCAGTATCTTGATTCTTCCCCTTCTCGATCATAGCAATACCATCATCACCATATCAGCGATGAACATGGCATACAATGGCATCTGCAACCGACGCCCATCGCCTGTAGAGGCTGCACGGCAGCCCGCAAGGATAGCCAGCGAGGCAGGCAAAGAGACTGACAGCAAGGCAGGCACAGACATAATGTGCGTGCCTGTGAACGTGCTCACGTGCCTAAACAAAGGTGCCAGAAGAGCTTTTGTTTGTACAAGTACAGTATAGCTTCTTATCCATTTGTCTGCACATGTATGCACATCTGTAACCATGCATGTAGTACACAAAAGCAAGTTCCCGTGTGTGGTTGCTCTGCTTGTGTATTTGGTTGGTCTGCTTGCATGCATGCATGCATGCATGCATGGCTAGAATTACGACATGCATTCTTGCTTGCATGAAGCCATGCATCTACGTACACACGCATGCACTCATGCATGCGCAGCTGCCTACATACATACGTTTTTGCATACGTTACAGACATGTATGCCTCTTTCATTGTACATTGCATGTACCCACATGTGAAGGTGTACAGTGTATACGCAGCCAAGTTTCAGAAAATGCTCATCCTACTCCCCGAGTTCTCCTGCAAGCCCACTGGTACCCCTCTTGTCCGTCCATCTGGCTGCATTTTCTCTGCTCGCCCGCTTCAATGTCCCTGTTTTATGCCCTTGTTTATGCCAGTGGGGTTGCTGCTAACGGCCTGTGCTGGCAGTCGAGAGACCTGGACCCAGCCCTCCGATGCCGAACAGCTCTGACATCTCAGGGTCTCAGCACTCATGCTGTTATATAATGCTACCTTCAGAGCCTTCATGTTCCAAGCCTGAACGGCTGCAACGGACCAGCGTCACACGGGAGCTTCTGCGGAGCGGAAACCAAACACAACTAGACAAAGGCACATATCAAATTGCCTGCTGCGGAAACTGTGTTCTGAGCAACATCTCTGCAACTCTGCGTCGGCGCGACGTAGGCCTAATCTGGTTGATGATGTTGGCTGGCTTGGCTAGCAGCAGGGGCATGGATCCGAGCTAGTTGGGGCATCTAACTGAGTCGCCAAGACCGGATGGCTAGTTTGCGAATGAGCTCAGACCGCGATGCTTCCACTGGCCACGAACACGTCGCAACAAACTACAATTGGCCACGTTCCCCTACATTCGACATGGACAGAACTTACAAGCATCCTCCGCATTAAGGGTCGATGACGCGACTCGGTACAATCGAATGACAACGAATTCAACGTAAAGTTCATTTACAGGGCATGTCATCATACTCTGCATTCAAGGACCGATGGCCATCCACGGTGATCCACAGGCACCTTTTCCAGGCCATCGCAGTTCCCGCAGTCCTGACAACTGGCCCTTGTCTAGCTGCGATCTCATCTGAGAGCCAGCCACCAGTGGCAGCATTTTGGGGCCTGAAGAACAAGAAGAGATCTCTTTCGCCCTACAATGATACCACCTACTTCCCAATATGCCTGTGCCTGTTAGTCATCCATGCCGTTCTTGGGGCCCATATGTTGCCCGTGTGCAGCATAAGACCGGGCAAAACACCCTGCGTTGATGCATTCGCAATCTGCTGCAGTTGCCAGCTTTGCACACCGCCGCAATCATCAGGTGCAACCAAGATAGTTGCAGTAGGAGTTACTGACCGCAATCGCTACAGCTAAGGCTGCCTTGACCACTTGACCCCACTGCCTACCGCTACTGCTACTGCTACATCTGATACTGCGGCCCTTGCTCCTACTCCTACTCCAAAAGTACAACAACAGCAACTACTACTACTACTACTACTACTACTACTACTACTACTACTACTACGTAGCAGCCAAAACAACCACCACCAGGCCCACCACTACTGATAAGGCTTTCTACGACGATGACTGGAAAAGAGTCTTCTGCGAAACCATAAACCATACCGAATGTGTCGAGACTGCCGGGGTCTGGAACACGGCAAGCAGAGTGTTGAGCTCTCTGGCTCCAGGTTGCGCAATTCCGGTTGGTAGGAATACAATCGCATGGATGAAACCTCCTAGTTTGGAGTAGGAGATCTTGAGATTCCTGCAGAAGCGGCGCTGAGCATCAGCTGCTAGCAAAACTGTGCCTCCTTGGGAGGCCTTTGTATGATTGATACCTTCTCGGAAGTTCGGAAGCTGCTCTGAACCGACTATCCTGTACCCGCAGGCACTGAGGCACTGTCACTCTGTGTTCTTGTCTGCCTCACCCGCCAATCACAACCAGTTTTCCGTTAGTTATCGAACAAGATGTCTTCGCGTGGAAGTGAGACATTGGGATCTATCTGGCAGGCGCATGCAGCTGCCTCCAAAACTGCATCATCAACATGACCCGAGTATCTTTGCAATGCACCCACAGCTGCGCGCCCTGAGTCTTCCACCCTATTCAGCTCAGAAGTAACCTGAGTAGAATGCAGTGCAGTGATACAGCTCTGACACGAGTTCTTACTGTCAGTACTGTGCGGCAGAGATTGATCTAACATTTAATTTGCTCAAGAAGCCTGAAGCGTGCTTTTTGGACTCTGTGTGGCTATTGCCCAGCCGGCAACAAGAATCTCGTGTAGGTGCCGAGCCCCACATGCCATGCTTGGCACCAGAGAGGCTGTGCACAAGATGCATGCCTGGGCTTGGGATTTGAGAGCGCTGTTTAGGCCTGATCAACTTGTTGCCTGACTACTCTGGCCGTACATCGCAGGTTGGCGGCCTTTCGTGTACAGTCTCGCCGCTGCAATGTACGCAGTCAGAAGCACAATTACACCGCATGCTTGCCAAAAACGAGAGACGACAGGCCGTCACCAACTGACGAACGGTCGTGCTATAGTGTTCTAAGCCCTTGTAGACAACGATGAGGCCCGCACGGAAGCGCGGTTTCTTTGGAGGTTTCCCACAGGTCCTGATCACACTCGGATTGCTGGCTGGCAGATCTGCAACGATTCAAAAATAGTCTCGTTCTAGAGTGGCACAGCTTGTCTATTTCCTAATCAAGCCTCGTCCCAGCATGTAGGCACTGGGCTGTCTGGCACTTGTTGATTGCGAATCACACGACGCAGTTATGTCTGTCGTTCCTGCTCTTTGCAACTCTGAGGGCTGAGGTTGGGTCGGCGGTGGGGGTGGCGGCGGCTTGAGCTTGGCCTTCTCCATAACCTTCCGCTTCCAATGCACATCCAGAGGCTCACAAGTTTAGACATGCTACGGGCAGCGTAGAATCTGCATCGACTCAAGAGCTACATCGCGCATCCATAGCCTTCTTCTCGGCAGGGAGTGGCTTCTTCTGCGTTTTCCTGGCGAACTTAGCCTGCGAGCACAGGGGCCTTCTGTAGCCAAGCCCGGTAGTCTACGGCTGAGAGAGGAAATTCACGACTTTGTGACACTTTGCTTTGTAAGGCCAAGAGAAAGGCTGTCCCCCAGAGTATCGAAAAATGGGGTTTGCATCACGCCAGGTCCCCCCCTGGCGTCATGACCAGCACATTGGCTTGTGA